TCCTAATAGTGTAACTGAGAGACTAGTATTAGATACACTACCAGTCATTGTATATGATACATTAATACCAATACATGTGTAATTGTAACCAATGATAGGAATGGATTGATGAGTAGTAGGTGGACTCCAACTGAGGATTAGTGAAGATGAACTGATTGCTATCAATATAGGTGGTTTAATGGTACCTATAGGCAAGAGAAATAATTTTTGAACAATGAACAAAATAACTTACCATTAACAGTAACATTGACTGAAGCTCTAATGTTATCACTGGGTAGGACAAATGAATGATTAGTACTTGATATATTGTATTGACAAGTATATTGTCCAGCATCAGATAATGACACATTATTGATAGTGTAGCTGATAGTGTGTTCAGTATTATTATTGATACCAGTATATGAGTGTAGAGTGTGATTAGAGGAATCGAGCCATTGTATGTTCACATTAGTAGCAATATCAATAAGAGGAGAGTGTGGATAAGTGACAGAGCAAATGAGGCTAATGCTGTCACCAACAGTATAATAAGAATTTAACTGAGTAATTGATGGATTCACAGCACTTGGAACTAAAGATAAAAGAATATTTATAGAATAATTGAGAAAATACTCACTTTTAATTATTACATTAGTGACTCCTGTCCTGACATCACTTGGTATAACATAAGGATTATCAATTGTACTATTGAGATAATATGTACAACTGTATTCTCCAGCATCAGATAGCTTTATATTAGTGAGAGTATAATTGAAATATTCATTGTATGGATGAATAGAATATTGTTGAGAAATATTTTTACTAAAATCCCACTTAACTATAGCAGTAGTTTCAACATCGACCAGTGTTAAGTTAGGTTCTGTAACCTTGCAAGAAAGAATGACACTATTATTAACTTTGTAATAGGATTCTTTGGGACTATGAGCCAGTGATATGCTGCTTGTTGGAACTATAGTAACAAATAAAAACCAATAATTACTTACACTTTAATAATAATTATGTTTGAACACATACTTTTAATGTTTAGTTTAGTCGTAGTTGATTTATAATCACTTGCTTGAACAAATGAATTATTACTACGATTATAAGAACACATATATTCTCCTGATTGTGACAATTTCAAATTAGTAAAGGAAATGTTTAATGATTGTTTGTGACTACCAGTGGCACCAATATACATTACACCTGACTTAATAATGCTGTCATTGTATATAATATTAACAGTACCCTTGGTAGCAATAGGAGGTGATAATTGATGAGCAGTAATCATACATGTTGCATTAAAACTGTCTCCAGCTGTATATTCATTTAGAGACATACTAACAACATCTCTAGAATTATTGACTATATGAAAGCACATAAAAGAAAACAGGTTAGTGGTGACACTTACTTTTCCTCATAACTTGTACATTATTTGATGCCATACTTTTAACTGATTGTTCTCCTATCCATGCTACACAAGTGTAATTACCAAGTGTTGATACTGGAGTTGACGATGCTATTGGACTGAACCTCAGTGTACTAATAAATGATGTATCATTAACAGACACAACGGGTAATATAGATACTGCTTCACTGTCTGATACTAGTCTGTTCTCATTACCATTGTCTCTATACCAGGATACATTAACTATACTGTTAATATCAGTGTTAGTAATGTTAATATCAGTGTTAGTAGCAATATGGCACTCCAACTGGTGATAAATGTTTGATAAGATCAGGTGGACAGTATTAGTCATTACTCTCATTATAAATGTATCTATTAAAAAGGTAATAAATAAACATTATTTATTGATGGCATACCTTTCACTGTAACAGATATATTCACTTGTTGAAAAGGACAGTTAATTGGATTTTTAATAATCAGTAAACTACAAATATACACTGTATTGTTGATTGACTGATCCACTGTTAATATGAGGGGATTATTAAACACTTTCTTAGATGTATGTTCTTGCCATGCTACAACAACTTCTGATTTGCTATAATTATAACCTAATGTACAATCAT